TTGCACAGGGGCTGATCGCCAGCTGATTGCCTGACATACAGGTCTGGTCCTTGGTCATAGCTGGGTTTATAAGGCATGGTGGAGAGTGGTTCTTGGTCCCAGCATATTGCCATGGCCAGCAAGGCCTTCAGCCCTTGCGGGGGCATGTCTGCAATACTCAAATACACAGAAATGTGCAGTTCAGGGCCCCCAGTACAAAAGATGCTGGCAAACTGGAGCACGTCCAGCAGAGGTCCACAGGGTGGCTGTGGGGCTGGAGCCCAGGGCTAATGAGGAGATGATGAGGGTGCTGGGACAGGGACCAGAGAGCTGTGAGGATTTTATCTTTGGAGATATTCATCGCTCCATATTTTCCTCTTTGAGCTTCTTACAGATGGTTAGAGCCCCAGCATGTCTTCATGGATTTACATGGCTGTGTGCACTGGGCCCTCTAGGCTGCAGGTCACCGAATGGCATGGCTAGCAGAGACTCAGTTAAAGCCTGGACCAGAGCCATTGAACTCAATGGAGTTAACTTCCAATATTTGGGGCTCCGCACTTTACACATGAATCTGGAGACACTTGGCAGCTGAAAAAAGCTGTGAAGAGCCAGACAGAAACCGTTTTATCACTGGGTAGAGCTCTACAACCACCTGAAACTACAACTACCTGAAAGGAGGGTGGAGTGAGGTGGTTGTCGGTCTCTGCTCCCAGGGAACAGGCAATGGGATGAGGGGAAACGGGCTCAAGTAGTGCCAGATGGTTTAGGTGGGACATTGGGAAGAATTCCTTCCCCAAAAGGGCTGTCAAGCACTAGAAGGGCTTCCCAGGGAAGGGGTCGAGTCCCCATCCCTGGGGGTATTTAAAAGCCGGACAGAGGAGGTGCTTAGGGCCAAGGTTTAGTGGTGGGCTGGCAGGGTTAGGGTAACGGTTGGGCTTGGTGATCTTAAAGGGCTTTCCCAACCTAAACGATCCTATGATTCTTTGCCAGTGTCTTTCAGAGGGAGAATGGTGGTCACGTGCAAATAGTAGCAAAGTTTTGGTGGGGATTGTTGAAATTTGTGGGTCTGTGTGGACAATTTTTATTTTTTTTTTTTTTGCAGCTGAAGCATTGCGATGGCACTGAAGCACCCCTGTTGTAAAGCTGCCTGGCTCCACTGGGGAACCATGGAGCAGACCAAGGCTGTCTCATTTATCCTTTCTGTATTCGTTCCAGACTATGTAAAGATGCGGGAGACTTGCTTGCTGGTGGCTACAGGGGACTAAGGTACCATCTTCTATGTAAGACTAAGATATAGTTCTCCCTCTGCCCGGGGGAGGCTAGAAGTGGAAGGAAACCAAAGCAGCCCTGAGGCTCATCTAAAATGCTCAGTGGAGTGGCTCACCTCTGGCTTAGGCAGAAGATCCGTACCTGGAGGTGAAAAGGCAATGCGATGTCATGTCCTCATCTCATGGCTCACTCTTCAAGTTGGTTGGAAGCCTTTCCCAGTGGATATCACTGGCAAATGCTCTTGTCATTAAATATATTCGTTAGCACATGGATGATTCTGAAACTACGTTATAATTATTGGTGGAGCTGGCAGTGGTGCCTGTAATTAAGGTTGCCAGACATTTCCCATTAAAAGATTCTCTTTTCCAATGCTATACCCTTGCCAACATGTAACTGTTCAGGCTGAAATTTTCAGTTGCAGGCCGTTGGCTTGGGCTGGTCTTTGTGTATATGAATATGTGTGTGTGTGTGAGAAAGCAGGAGCAAAATACAGTTTAACCAGATCCAAGAGTGTGGTACAGGGAAAAGGCATTGTTTTATAGTTATTTAAGGGAAAAATACCCAGCAACCGCATTGTTGAGAAGGTCTGGCACCTTCATGATTAATTTTTATTTTTACAGGGACTTGAAATTTGGCTTTGTTACAGATCTGGGCTTTTTTGTTTTTTTTCCTCCTTCAGATTCCCATTCCTGGTTTTGGCCAAGTTGGATGGCTCTGCAGATCTGCTGTCAACACCAGCAGAAAGAGAAGGTTTGCCCTGATGTTCGTCTGTAGCTTGTGCAGCCCGGGGTTCTGGGAAGGAAGCAGGGCTTCCTCCTACCCAGTGCAGGTTAGCAGCCTGTTATACGTGGTTTGGCCCTGGAATAATGAGAACACAGCTTGGATTTCCTATACCCTACGTGTTTCTCCAGCTGGCTCACACAGTAGGAAGGCAATCACACATGCACTTATTGCATGGGGATAAGGGCTTTCTGCCGTGATGGGCAGAGATAGAAGTGGAATACAGAACAGATCAGATGAGGAATTGGGTGAGGAAAGGGCAAGTGTCTGTATGCTGAGGTGCGTAAATCCTTGGCAGGTCTTACAGCTTTCATTCTGCTCATCCAGACGGGTGAGTCTGCAGGACCAGGCTCATAGCCCTGTTTGCCCACGTCTGCTCCTCACCTGAGGTCAGAAATGGGTTGATGCAAGAGTCCCAAGAGTAGGAGCTACTTTGGGGGACCATCGTTAGAAGCATCATTTTTACCCTGGCTCTGAGGCTTCCAGTTACAGCTGGGGAAATCTTTTATTTCCCAAAGCACATCAAGTCACGTCAAATTCGCCAAGT